CTTCCACAGTTTTCTTGGGCTCGTCTGTCCCACAGGGGAATCAGAGAATGCAGCTGGCAGATTCACTGGCTGACTATAGAGCTGATCGAAGACCAGAATGGTTCCAATCATCTCTATGTTCTAAGAGACCGGAAGCTACGAGCATTTCATAATTTCCATTTCCCCGGACTTTAACAGCGCCATTGGTAAAGCATCTGATCACACCAATCTTGGTGAGATCAGATGATGTAAGGGTAGAGGAGACATCTAGAGTCTAATAGACTCCAGATTTCTCAAAAAAGAATACCTGTCAATACCTATTGCAGTCACAGGGGATAGAAAATGAATAAATCAAAAAGGTATTTTTTCATATTTTTGTCACAGGGTTTTGAAAAAGAAAAGAAAAAAAATCGATTGTTTTCTTTCTTCGTTTTCCAAAACCATATGGCAACAAATGAGATCTGCAAAATACTCACCATGCCTCTTATCAAATTCCTTGGGGTGTCTACTTTTCAAAAAAGTATCATTTGGGGTTTTTTTGTACTATCCTGACATTTTAGGGCCTCTAAAACTGTGATAGGTAGTGGGGAAGTGATATGAGGAAATATGCCCTTTGAAAGCCTGGAGGCGGTCATTGGAGTCTGGAGGCCTGTATGTAGCTAGGCTGCCAAAAAGCCTCGCACATGTGGTATCACCATACTCAGGAGAAGTAGGAGAATGTGTTTTGGAGTGTTATTCCACATATACCCATGGCATGCATATCATTTAAAAAAAAAAAAGTGTCATTTTCGAAAAGCCTGTGGCACAAAATAAAAATGTTCCAGGGACTCAACATGCTTCTCTGCAAAATCCTTGGGGTAGATTTGTGAATAAGTAGGTGCTGAATCAATAAACCATATGAAAAATATCAAAATGATCTAGCAACAACAAAATGACTATAAGTCTCAGACAAAATATATATTAAACATATAGTGAGTGACAGTCCCATGAAAATATGAAAATATAATCCCGTAGATCAAAGGATTTTCTTTTTCACCACGTGTAGACAATAAGTGAATAACTCGCTCACCAGAAATTATTGACCCCGGTTCAGGTGGTCAAAAAGTGATTTATGGTCATGCAATATGCTGACAGCCAACAGCAAGCTCTCATGGGCCAGGCTTCCTGATCTCCTAATACGGAATATGGATCCACAGGACCAAGGATGGCAGCCCCCAGATAGGGGGTAATGAAGCTCCGAGTGCACAGATATTAAATCGATTCCCAATCTCAGGCTCTCCTCAAGGTATAGATAATGCTCCAAGTAGTGTGGGAAGCTGGCTCCTACACATCACACGAATGGATCCGCAGCCTCCTGGAACCTCTGATGTGCCCTGGGAGGATGCAGGCGGGGGGGGGGGGGGGGGGGGGGGCAAACTTCTGCTGGGATCACCAAGTCCCCGAACCAGTACGGGTCCCAGCCAGAGATTTCCCGCCAGCACCTGGCGATCATCAAGGAAAGCTGGCAGTGGAGAGACCTGTGTTAAAACACAGGTCTCTCTCCTGCCAGCAAGAACATGCAGCTTTGTATTTCTCTGCACAGCGGAGAAATACAAAGCAGCATGTCTCCCCAGTAAAACACACACAGCACATAATGTAAAACAGCAGACAGTTACCCCTTTGATCACCCCAGATGTTAACCCCTTTCCTGTTCAGTATCATTAGTACAGTGTCATGCTTTTTATTGGCACTGATTACTGTATTAGTGTCACTGGGTTGTCAGTGGCAGTTAGTTCCCACCCAGTGTCAGAATGCCAGCAATTGTCAGTTAAAGTAATACAGCGCCGTATCACAAAAATGGCCTGGTCATGAAGGGGGGTAAATCCTCTGGAGGGCAAGTGGTTAATAGCTTTAGATGTCTGAAGACCAGACAGTACCATTTGACTCAAGTAAGCTAGCAGCAATAATGAGAAACATAATACATAGCAGTGTACATAGCAGTGCTGCCATAGCTTTGATGTCATTCTAACATCTTCCATCAGAGACAGCTCAGCTTAAGGTAGCAAAAATATAAAATATTTTCATTGTTAATTTTCTATTATCAAAAAAAATATGCTTTTTTCACTAAAGTCACAGGGTCTGAAGATAGCACCTGGAGAGCCATATGAGCCTCCCAGTGAAACATAACCATCACATTTTTTCTTTGTTACAACAATGTGGTAATGGGGTGTCAGGAAATAGCACACACAACTTCAAAAATTATGGAAATTAATATTTTATTAATTCTTTTTAAGGCTTTTTATTTTAGTAAAAACTGAATTCTGCTACTTTCCACCACTCAGAGAAGTATGTACCGTATAAAGCTAGTCAGACCCATCAGGAACACTAGCATATACATTACAGCCAGGTCTGTTATATTTCTGAAAGTTTTTTTTTTGTTTTACTGTTAAAGCATGACACAAACCTTAGCATAATCTACAGAGACTGCTACACAGAAGGTTCACCCTAGTTGTCTCTTATAGGAAGTAGTGCAAAATAATTACTTGCAAGTAAAAAGGCTTGAAACATTAATGTTCAGGGTGTTGTCAAATTTGAGAACTTTGTTAGGTAGGCATTCATGGCCAGCATCAATGAATTTTGTCCCAATAATGTGCAGGAAACTGGTCAGTCAATTGTCATAGGCCCAGACCGAAGTCACTCATGAATTTGCATCAACAGCTCATTCTATTACTTGTCCATGCCTAACCATAATCTAACAATCAGCCTATGATTAAACAAAGCCAAAAAAGACAGTTTGCACACTTTAGAGGTCCTGTACCCTCTACCTTGTACCCAGATAATTAAACACAGGCAGGTGATCTGTATCATGCATGTGTACATCTGCTGCAAAAAATTGTTGCTCTTCTGGAGCAGAATTGTGAGCCTTCCAGCCCAGTTTTTACGTAAACTACTAAAAAAAAAAAAGAAAAATCTAAGCAGTACTTAAATATACTTCCTAGTAAGCCTCATTGGTTACTATGCAGCAGCTTTCAGTGCTAATCTTGGGAAATTTTTTTTGTACTTGCAGCAAAAACAGTGTGATTGCATAGAAAAGATATTGCTTCTCTAAGTACATCCAGCCTGCCTGTGCAGAGTTGTCAGGGTAGAAGGTTGTGACAATGTCTCCTTAAAGGTTTTATGTTTTCCATTGGGCATTTGTTATCTCTGTATCCTGCTACATAAATTGAGAATCTCGGCACTAAATAGAAGGTGGCAGTATATGCTAGTAATAGTATAAAACTGTGCTAATCTCACAGTATGTTTGTGAAATCAGCTGAATAGGCCACATATACTATGGGGATGCAATACACATTTTAACCTGAATAGGATTTTTACAATATAGACAGTGGTCTATAGACCCATTACACTAGATTTTTTTTGTTATAGTTTTTAATGTAAAAATATTGCCAAGAAGGTGCATATTGTGATGTGATCATTGCTTGATGACGCAGAGAAATTGGAATGGGATATTTGTGAGCAAGTGACAAGATGAACATTAAAATCCTTACGATGGCTTGTACTGCCTAAAGCAGACAGTCTCAATGCTTGTCACCCTTGCCCTTTTGTGAACATAACTATTTTCTAAAATAGGTACCTGTTCTTATCGTTTTATGTAATTTTTTCACATCTAAATGATAAATCAAGGAAAAAAGAATACAGAATACCAATTTGGAGATACCATAGATTTTTTTTGTGTAAACAGAAGTATGGAAATTTCAGTAAATTCCCTTTAATAGACGTCTTATGTTTGTAAATTCTACTTCGCATGAGCAAATGTCTGCCCTGGAGCTGATTCTTTCAATAACATTAACAACTGCATGGTACTGTGTTATTTCTTATATAAATACCATGATTATTTTATAAACATACAACATTTACCAGGTCCCTTTAATGTAAAACATGAACACCCATTGAGGCTCCTAATGTACTCTGCTACCAAACCTCGGGGGCAAAAATGTAATCTGAGGCCAAAGTTTATTATCTTCGTTGATTTCCTTTTCTTGATTCCCTGCAATAACTGGAGCAATCTATTGTTGAGAATAGTAGGCAGAAAACCTTTCAGGAGATCAGCAAGCATTTGTAAGGCATGTTTAATGGCTTTAAAAGGCTTTTTTTTTTTTTTGTAGGAGAGCCAATGGTTTTAATCTAAAACAGTTAAACATGAATCTATGTATACATATGTGTACGAATGTCAGTAATATTGACACCTAGGCATGGAAGGTGCACTGCACAAACTTTTCAACAAATGTTTTTCAGCTTACATTCTCCCTCCTTTCTATATGAATTATAAATTGTGACAGCTAGCATGTTTCCAGAAAAGTGCAGACACAGGTAGTGTCACAGAAACAAGCCTAACCGTCTACCAAGAAACCACTCATTCAAGTATCAGCATAAGCAACTCATTGCTAATCATCTCCAGAAGTAAAGTGTTTAATATGTCATAGCAGATGGTTTACTACAGGACCCAAACAGTTGCCATGATATAGTAGTTCTTCCTGATATACCCCTGGCCAAGTACCAATTATTAGTGTGTTAAGAGTAGAAAAAAAATAAAACTGCTCCCAATTGATTCCGAATCTATAAATACTACAGATTCAAAGTTCTCCTGCAGGCACAACAACTCACTCCTCGTCATTGCTGCCTTGATGGTGCCATAGGCTTATTAGTCCAAGTGTTTAGTTCTGGCTTCTCCACTAGGCCAATCTAGTTCTTCCACAGACAGCATGTGGGGTACTTTGCCCCTGTGCATTAGCTCGGTTGATCGCTTCTCTATGGGCCTTCTGCTGGTGAAAACAAGTTCATTTTCACTTTCAAATTCAGAGGACTCTGGTTTCCAGCTTGCAGACTTCTAGAGTTATTCTGTTGGTCATTCAGTGGCTTTCCCATTCATTTTCCTAATAAGTGTATTTTAACTCCATTGCATTTTCTGTGAAAGCTAAAATGAAGCGGAGTATGTGCTAGATGTTTCATTAATTGTCCATATGAGGTGTAAACCTGACACCTCACAAGGCATTGGCTGGGATCCACAGGGCTTTGTTTTGTTCTTGTTCCACAATAACCAGGATCTGAGTGCAAATGCTGACCAGTGCACCTCCTTGAATTACAGCTGAGAAAAAAAACAAAAAAAAAAAAAGAACATTTAGTGCAATGACCAAAAAGGAATACTACTTGTACAGCAAAAAGATCACAAAAAAAAAAATTATGGAAAGTAATCATTTAATTTTTAATATACTACACCTGAGTGTGCCACATATGTAAAATGGCAGAAAAAAAACTACTGACAGAGGGTTGGTCTATTCTCCAACTAAACGTGTCAGTTGACTGTGAATATCTTTTTAGAATGCAGATCTTCATGGTGTTTGTTGTGCAGACTGACAGGTAAATTTATCACCTGAAGACAGCTGCCACATTTAACTTGCATACATATTTTCAAGGCAAGCAGGTTGGTAATGCAGCCATTTTTTTTTGTCAAAGTGCTTATTATCAGCTGAGAAATCAAAATGAAATTCCTAGCAATTTAAAAGTAAACATGTCGCTACATATGACAGGTTAAAATAAGCACATAAGCCAACTGCCAATCTGTATACCTGCCAGAAAAGCCATCACTGCAAGGAACCTTGGTAGCCCCTGCAGTAGGCACATTTTAACCCAACACATCCCACAATGCAGAACCTCAACATCCTAATGGGAGGGGCCCTGAACTGAGAAGTGCTGGGGGATATCCTCAACACTGACTATGCAAATGCAGAAAGGGGAATAAGTTCACGCAGCCTTGAGGTCCATTGCTCATCCTGGGGTACTCTGCAGTAATAACATATTACCTGTATGACAAACTTTGATGAAAATTTTAATCATACTGCTGGATGGACTCACCCACTTGTTTTAGGCCAGTTACATATTTTTTCAGTTGCAGTATAGCCAACCGCCGCCTCAAACCCGAGTGGGCTGCCAACACACTACAACAGGCTTTATCTTGTCACCATACAATGCACATTGTTCACATCTTTGTTCATTGTGGAGTTCTGGAGGAGTTCTTGGGACACAATTTAGAATCAATGACACCCCAGATAACATGGCACATTACCATGTGTTGCAATACTAAGTAAGTACATTCAGCAAGACCAATTTCAGACCAATAAATAAGTTGTCCTTGCAATGATTTACTGTAATTTGTCCATTATGCTTTCCTTTTACCCAAGTGTCGGATTAGTTTCCTCCCATATGCTGCTTCATATATTAAACAGATTTATGACAAGTAGAAGTTGTAAATCTTTAAGTTACCATTACTAACATTTATCACTCACCTGTAAAATACTTGCTGTATTCCTGCTCAACCTTCTGTGCAGATTCAAACTGCTCTTTGGAATTTTTCTGTGTAACTTTGTCCCTTAGAAAGATTGGGTCCTTTTGTTCCCTATAAACAAAGCAAAAAATAAACATAAGAGAGAAACTACACTAGAAATAATTGCATTTACAGTATTCACAACTCATATTTTACAGTATACCGGAGAGTTATAGCATAAAAAAACTATTTTTCTTACACGTTAAGACAGCAGTCCACATTTTTCCAGCTACAGGACATTGTTCCAGGACATAATTAATGGGGAAGATGTACACAGGTTACTGAGACTGAAAGTGGAAGCATTACAGGAAGTGTTGGGCAAAATTTGTGAGCAAGTAATGGTTAGCCTAATGTAGCCAATGAGTCTATTTTAATTGTTCATTTTTTCTAATAAAAATTGCAAGATTTTAGATATACTTTTTAGTTTTGGATGGAGTGAGGAAGTGTGAAAACAACTGTCAGGATTTTATCCGGATCTGTGTCACGTTGGGCAAATTCACCTTCTCTGTTTGTCCTGGTGACCATTGCCAGTGATGGGAAATCCAAAATTTTAGAGTTGTTAGAGAAACAGGAGGTGAAGGGAAATCTTCAGGCTGGGACACAAAATAAAAGTCTCCTAGATGGCACACTCAGAGCAAAAAAAAAAACAAACAAAACAAAAAAAAAAAACACAACACACGGTCAAAATAATTAAGTTTTAACCTCCACAAAATGAACAATGGTAGATTTCCAGGTGAATGGTTCCCATGAATATGAATTTCCTATAAGATCTGACAGCTGTTGATTAAGAAGGGCTTTTCTCTTATATTAAGATCGTATAATCAAGTTCTTATTTTCTGACCTACAATCTGACAGGCACAGCTCCATTAAGTGTAAAGAAAGGCAGCACATTCTGCGCCTTTGAGCAATTTTGAAAAAAAAAAAATATATATATTTTTTTACTGGTATAAAACATATCCAATAAAAAAAGTGAAGAAAAAAAAAAATCTAAATTTCTTCATAAAATTTTGGCCAAAATGTATTCTGCTACATGTGTGATAGAAAAAAAATGCCAACAAGTGTATGTTGATTGGTTTGCGTGAACGTTCTAGCGCCTACAAACTATGGTATATATACTGGATTTTTTTCTTTAAATAGTACAGTGATCAGCAATTTATAATAAGACTGCTGGAGTGTGGTGGGCAATCTGACACAGACGACATCACCAGTAACATTAATGCAGTGATCAATGTGATCACTAGGGTGATCAAGGGCTTAAAGTGTGCCTATGTGTAAACTGTGCTGCTTTTACTAAACAATATCTAATGGGGAGGGGGTTTGGGGTACTGTAGATTGAAATCAAGCACATTACGCCATTGTGACGGTGTTGGGGGCATGGGGGAGATCCAATTTTGCAGGATAAGCTTACGAGCCAGAAATAAGGATCTCATTCACATTAAATAAACTTCAGCAGGAAGGACTTCTTCCGGGCTAATTTGCAGGAGAACTAATTTTGGGTCTAAGGGTACCTGCATAGAGAAGGCTGTATTAAGTGTCGTAAAGATGAATGCCCAATAATCTGTGGAGTTGGGGGCAGCACCACAACATATGAATTGGGGTACCCGTGGCGGTAGTACATCTAGGACAGTTTGAAGATGCTGCCTTCCCCCAAAAGTGTAATTTCTGTGAACTATAATGTATTCTATGTATATTAAACAGGTCGTTTGAAGTCTAGAGTATAAATCCCCTATTAATCCTCTTTTGGGGCAGGAAATAGAAACAGCCATGGATAAGAATTAATTGCGCAAATTCATACGAAACCCAACATTCTTAAGGAAGCGAGTGTACATATCCATTGAAAGTTAAAGTTTTGTTTCACTCACAGCATAGTTTGGGTTGATAGTAAAATGTTTAGTGCCTTGAATGTAGTACTACACAGGTCCAAAATGTTTCCAAGTTTGGGGAGGTTAGGTATGGTAATAGCTGGGTTGGTTATGAAAAGTAATGCATCATCTGTGAAGTGGCAATATTTATGTTGGTGTTCGTCTATCTCTATCCCTGTAAAATTCAAATTTTTCTCTTGTTAGATATGCTGCTTATTTGATTGTTATAACAAGAAAGAGAGGGAGAGTCCCTTCTGTTACCTTGTTTAACACTCAAAGTAGGCGATTAAAATCTGCAGTATCAAATGCTTGTGATGTGGAATAGAGGGCAGCTATCTATTTCAGAAAATAAAAAGGTTGTACTAGGGTGTTAAAGGCTTTTCCTATATCTAAGAGGAGCTACAAATAAAGGATTTGATTCTGCTTTGCTATATTCAAGATATTTGTGAATGTGATTAGTCTCATTTAACCAATTTGCCTATTCCCAAGTTTAACCATGTGGCAAGTTTAGCCAACATATTCCTGTCTAAATTTAGAAGAATTAGACCAGTAGGTACTGTCAATTTTGGTATCATACTTAACATAGTTGTTAGTTTATTACCGAAATTAGACATTTGATCAAAGGCTGCAGTACTAAACTAGGTGAAGACACTGGACATGCTACACAAGTCCAAAAAAAAAAAAAAAAATAGTATTCATAGTACACAGGATATGTGTAGCACATCCAGCCCCTCTGCCCCCTCCCCCATTTGCCAGCAACTTTTGGCTCTTGGGAGCTGCTTTGTATATACAGCACCACTAGCAGCTGCTACTGTCAGAAAAAGAACCCTCTGACTCAGTTTATCAACATTCCTTATTTAGGAAATAAAGAGATGAACTTCAATCTACAGATGCTCACAGTTAAAGCCAGCTGAGCGAAAAAAAAAAAAAAATCTAACATTTGTCTAGTAAACCCCTAGTTTTACCTAGTCATTCCTAATTAACTTTTATATTTCACTTCAACTATTCTATTTTATTAACCACTAATAGCTAAACTTTTTTTCATTGTTTGTTCATTTTTTGTAACACCTTTAAAAAAAAAAAAAAAGCGTAACATTTCTTATATCATTTGTAAATAACTTTGCAATGCTTTTACCGAAATACAAATTTTTGTGTCAGTACAATTATATTATTATTATTTTTTTTTTTTTTTTACAAACACTGGTCAAAAAAGGAAAAAGACAACAGTATGAAAGCCTAGTTTGTAAAAAAAAAAAACAAAAAACAAAAAAACAAAAAAACCCTGTGCCTGGCCATTTATTCTGTTTGAACATCTTAAAAGCTTGCTGTATTTCATTATGCGTTATAGGTTTCTTTCTTTCTAATTATTATGTACCTGTTCCAGAGCTTAACATGCCAGAAAGGCTGTTCTGCTAACATTGTGGAAGTGGTTTCATGGGCTGTGTAGTGTTTAGAGATATACTGTTCTGGCAACCCTGAAATCAATTTTTAGGAATTAAATACCATTAACTATCATTCTCATCTTCAGTTCTATAGGTTTCTACTTGCTCACAGAGTCGAGTTTGTAAACCTGTATCTGTCCTAAGTTATTTGTCTGCTATATATGCAGGTTCCAATTTAAAGCGCAACACCTTTTTTTTTTTTTTTTTTTTTTAAGTAAAAAATAAGTTGTCTAGCCACTTGACCTCCAGAGGATTTACCCCCCCTTAACCGCTTGCCGCCCTGCCACTGTGTATATACGTGTGCAGGGCGGCAGTGGAGCGCAAAAGCACGTTTTAAAACGTGCTCCGCGCTCCCGACACATTCGCGGGTAGGGGGGCGCGCGCGCGCTCCCGTCGACCCACAGGTGATACGATTCGATCTAGGAGGGATCGATCATTAGATTTCAGCCAGTGATTTCTGGCTGAAATCACATGATCGGTCCCTGTCCTATCCTGTCCTGTGTTGATTTTTACACAGGGCAGGATATGATGTCATTCTTCTCTGCCCGGACACATTCCGTTCCAAACAGAGAAGAAGACATCCAAAAAGTGAGTACACAAGCACTACACTACAGTTAGAACACACTAGGACACATTTAACCCCCCCTGATCGCCCCCCCTCCCAGTTAACCCCTTCACTGCCCTGTCACCAGTGTCACTGATCAGTGAAGCGATTTTTACTGATCAGTGTCGCTGGCGACTTCCGATAGAGTTAGCGCCCCTCCCAGATAGCGCCAGTTTGCCCGCCAGTACACCAGTAATCCCGTTTAACCCCTTGATCGCCTCCTCCCCCCCCCCCAGTTAACCCCTTCACTGCCCTGTCACCAGTGTCACTGATCAGTGAACCAATTTTTACTGATCACTGTATCAGTGTCGCTAGCGACTTCCGATAGTGTTAGCGCCCCTCCCAGATAGCGCCAGTTTGCCCGCCAGTACACCAGTAATCCCGTTTAACCCCTTGATCGCCCCCCCCCCCCCCCAGTTAACCCCTTCACTGCCCTGTCACCAGTGTCACTGATCAGTGAACCAATTTTTACTGATCACTGTATCAGTGTCGCTGGCGACTTCCGATAGTGTTAGCGCCCCTCCCAGATAGCGCCAGATTGCCCTCTAGTACACCAGTAATCCCATTTAACCCCTTAATCCCCCCCCCCCCCCAGTTAACCCCTTCACTGCCCTGTCACCAGTGTCACTGCTCAGTGAACCGATTTTTACTGATCACTGTATCAGTGTCGCTGGCGACTTCTGATAGTGTTACTCCCAGATAGCGCCAGATTGCCCGCTAGTACACCAGTAATCCCATTTAACCCCTTAATCTCCCCCCCCAGTTAACCCCTTCACTGCCCTGTCACCAGTGTCACTGATCAGTGAAGCAATTTTTACTGATCACTGTATCAGTGTCGCTGGCGACTTCCGATAGTGTTAGCGCCCCTCCCAGATAGCGCCAGATTGCCCGCCAGTACACCAGTAATCCCGTTTAACCCCTTGATCGCCCCCCCCAGTTAACCCCTTCACTGCCCTGTCACCAGTGCCACTGATCAGTGAACCAATTTTTACCGATCACTGTATCAGTGTCGCTGGCGACTTCCGATAGTGTTAGCGCCCCTCCCAGATAGCGCCAGATTGCCCGCTAATACACCAATAATCCCGTCTAACCCCTTGATGGCCCCCCCCCCCCCCGAGTTGACCCCTTCACTGCCCTGTCACCAGTGTCATTGATCAGTGAACA